TCTAAAAGACAATCCAGATCCGAAAAGTCGTATAAATGGGAAATGGAGGGAATAAGAATGGATGAGAAAACCTTATTTCCTTTCCTAGCTAGTACAATTTTAGGTAGAAAGAGCCTAGTGTGGGTACAACATCCTGTGAACATGGAGTGCAAACATAACTGAATTTCTACTCTGCTAGAAAGAAAAACATGTTTTAAGTGAAAGATGATACAGTGAACATGACCTCAAATGTTCAAAGGGTGGACATGATGATGATGCATGGAGAACCACTGTGATATCCCAGTTAAGAACTTGGAAAGGGCAACGAGAATGGATAACCTAGAATGATTTGAAAAGTAATGACAAAACCAGGGACTCAAAACCTTTTTTTGCACAGAAAAAAGAAAAGAAGCTAATAAAACAGCCTTATACACAGCAACAGCCAAAGGTGCCAAACCTTTGTCAAAAATTGAGACATGTTGCATAGTGAGATGCAAAGGGTTATACCCATGTCTGAGAGACCACTAACGATAAGTAAACCATTTCATTTGATAGATTTCAAATAAGAATGTCAAATGGAATGTGTTAATAAGGATGCCACTCATGATATCAATCCTTGATGTCGTGCAATGGACCATATAAAAGCCAGGCATGAAGAAGTCGAATAATGCCAACTGCTGGATGAAAAATGTCCAACCGAGGCTGACATAAGAGTTGGCCAGGGAGGATGGGGAAGGGGTTGACACTTCTGAAGATACTGGAGAAGTGGAAACCAGGGCTGACCCAGCCAACATTGTGCCACCAGAAGAACTTGACCAGAAATGGAGAGAAACAATGCCAGAACCTTGGAGAGCAGATGATTCTAAAAGAAAGCATAAAGATGAAGACTCATCCAATCCTCATTGGTAGCCTCTACCCCAAAAGCCAGAGCGTGAGGTACTGGAGACCAGAAGCAATGTGTGGTGAAAGCCTCAATCTGTGGTTTCCCAAGACAAGATCAGATTGAATGAAAAACTTAAAGAAGAAGCATATAGTCCATAGGAAGAGCTCTGTTGGGACGAGATAACTGGTCGGCCATTAGACTCATTACCCCTGGAATATGACAAGCAAGAAGAACAATCTGGTGTTTGTGTGCCCAAAGGAGAAATCCACTGTTCAAAAACAAAGATCTACTGTGGAATCATCCGAATGAAGCATTACCACCTTCCCTTGCAACAATTCAAGATCCTGAGTCATAGCATACTGAACTGCTAAAATTTCTAAGAGATTGATGTGAAGAGAAGCTTCCTCTACAGCCCAAAGTTTCTTGAATTCCATATTGTTTATAAAAGCATCCCAGCCCTGGTGAGAAGCAACTATGAATAGATGTATCTCTGGAGGTGGTAGATGGACACATAAAGTTGGGTTGTCCCTGTTCAACCACCAGCTGAGATCCAGCACACTGGTATCTGACAGTCTCACTGAACAATCCAGCACATCTTTACAATATTCCACTGGTCCTGACCTAAAGGAATGAGTGATTCCAAGGTTGCCCAAATCCCCAAAAGAGAGAGAACTGTGCGTGCTGGTGGAGAACTGCCTGGTCCATGGCCTGAAGGACTAGAGGAGAAGGGTGGCCCCAGCTACATTTGGAAGTGAAAACACCCTTGAATGTATGAATTACTGTGTGGGAGTAAGAATAGAATACTCCTTTTTGGTGAGTGTGAACGCTGAGGGAGTGAAGATGACACAAAAAAGCTCTGACTATCTGGCAGAAAAACATATAGAGCAGAAGCAAGGCCAATTGGTAGAGTATGAAACTGAAAAACCCGGTTGTCATGCATGAAATGAAAATAACACCTTGAAAACTCAGCAACCAAGATATGAAGGTATCTTCAACATCGAATGTTGTCATCCATAGTCTGGATGAAAAAAACCACTGAAGGGAAAGAAACTAATCTATTGTAAACCGAGGAGGCTGGAGGAAGAGATTGAGACGAGAAAGTATGATGACTGGTCACCAATTGTCCAGCTTTTTCTACAAATAGCTATGAATAAAAACACTCGAAAAAGAAGGTGATGAGCATTATAGAATATTTTTTTGTGCAGAAGATGGATGGCTTGTGCTCAATGTTTGGATGTAAGAGGGTCTTTGGGGAGTGGAAAGTCAACCAGTATGAGAAACAGAGGAGGAAGAGACATGAACTGAATCCCCTCCTGAGAAGTTGAATGACACAGTGATCTGTGGTGAATGTGTCCCATACAGATATGAACCCTCTGAAATAGACCCCATAGGATCTGACCCAATAAGGTAGTTGTCAACGTCAAAATCTGTGCTCCACTCTGGAGGAGGATCCCCACTGGTATAGTCAAAATCATCCTTGTGTTTCAACTAATCATGGTACTGAAGCAGGAGGTCTGGAAACATGAATGGGAGAGGCAGTATACCATACTGTAGAAGAACTTTGGGACAGTCGAGAAGCCAGTTTAGAAAATGAAGAATGAAGATTGGCCCCACCTACTTGAGATTCCATGGATTCTGAAATTCCTGCAAAATAGCCTGAGAAAAGTAGCTTCTTTTAGATCTCTAAGGGCCAATGCAGAATGGCAGACTACCTCCAGTAAGATATCTCTTTCCAAAAGATCTCAGCAACAAACCAACCAAGATACCAAGGAGAGAGCAGAAGCCTATAACCTAATCAAAGTGGAAGTCAATAAATGATTAAGATCCTTCAAAATTTGAGAAGGGGTTCTATGGTAGGCCTCAGACAACAGTTGCAAATATGATAAAAAATGCAAAACTACTGTAAGTTACACATAAATTCTGGAAAATTGAGATTGTGTGAGATGAACAGTGGCATCTTGTCTATAGGAAGTAGATGGTCTAACCCCTGAGAGTCCAAATAAGGGTTCACCAGGCAATGGTTAGCCAAGGCAAGCTAATCCAATAAACTTGAATGCACTGCAATGTCTGTCAAAGGTGGAAGGACCAGGTGATCAGATGAACTAGTTTCTCCCAATAAAAAAGTTGAAGATTCATAAGCCACAGGATAAATACTCAAAACATTACAAACATTGCATATTAGATTTAAAAAAAAGATGCAAGAGGCAGGATGTCCTTCTGAGGTCCATGAGTAGCTGTCTGAGCAAAGGATGGGACTGGAAAAATATAGTCTAAATTCTCACTAGTCCGTCCTTGATCTCACACAAACTGCCACAGAGCCAACAGCAGAGAAAACATCAGACTGCTCGTAAGACTTTACCCACCCCTCTGCGTCTAAGGAACTGTATGTCCTTTGAGGAAGGTCCCCACCCCCCAATGACTGGGGAACATTAGAATCGAGAGGTGGTAAGAGGAGGGGCATCAGGTGACCGTGTCTGAGATGCAAATATTCATATTTGAAAACACTTTTTTTTTCTTATAAGATCAAGAAAATAAACAATAAATGCAAGCCCCCACAAAAAGATCTATAATAATTCAAAAGAAAACATTAAAAATGTAGTATTAATGCTGAAGAGAAACCAGCAGTAAACACATAAGACCATCTTCATAATTTTTGCTGTTAACAAGAAAGAATAATGAGGAGCTTATATATACACCTGGAAAAAAGTTAAGCACCCCCAAATATTTTTCAGGATTGCTTATTGAAAATAAG